GCCCCAGGCCTAGTTCTAAACTGACTTTGTAGGGCTGGAGGCTGCAGCTTGGGCTCAGGCAGGTTAGTAAGATGTTGGGGGGAGGACCCGAGAGGGAGCCTTGCCACCCAGGAGGGAGGAAGCGCTCCCTGGAGAGTCTAATCCTTTGCCCAGGCTATGGATTTCAGTTAGACTAAGGAGGACTGTGGGCAGGAGTGAGCGCACCACATCTGCCCCCAGTAGAGGGGAGGGGAGATGACCGATACTGATCACCTGCTCTCCGCGGCTTTTGTCATAGATGTTGGTAGGGGTGATACTAACCACAACAAAACTGTTACTTACTAAATGCTTGCTATTTGTAGTACGTTTATGTGATTCATTCTTCCCATGTGCAATTTATAATTCCACACCTTTTGATGAAGAATCCCTTGTTTTCTCTCTTTTAAAGATGAGAAAACTGAGGTTTAGTGTAGGTAACCTGCTCAAGGGCCTGCATAGCAAATGGAGAGCTGAGGTTTTAGCCTGGCCTGGTAAGTTCTGAGCAGAGGAAGCAAGGAAGCATCCCAGTGGAGAGACAGCATGCTCTAAGAGACCTCAGAGTGGTGGTGACTTTATCAAAATAGCACTTACCGAGTGCTTTTTACATGCTAGTCACTGTGCTACGTGCTTTACATGATCACCCTTTTAATCCTTACTAGAACCTACAAGTTAAGTATTAGCCCCATTTTAGAGATGATGAAACAGGGATAGTGAGGCTAAGCAACTTGCCCAGGGACCGACTCCAGAGCGGGTCCTCCTACCTCTGCTGTGCAGCGTCTGATGTCTGCCCTAGGCAAGGTGGTCTGGGGGCTCAGAGATGATTGCAGGTAGTCTGTTGTCATCTCTGGAATCCCATGAGCCTCAGTCGAAGAGACAATAATGGGGATTTGGGGAAAGAGGGATGAGGGGCTTCCAGCTAAGGGGAGCATCCAGACAGGGCCCTTGTGCACCTGACATCTTGGACAGACCCTTGGGACGTGTCTGCCCTTTTTATGCTTCTGTGCCCATCCTCTCGAAGTCCCCTGAACTGCCGTGCTTCAGTATTGCTGATTGATGGAGGTGCTTATGGTAGGTTTTTGTGTGTCTGGTCTGTGTGCCCCTCTTCTCCAGCTCTGTCCCAAATGGGCTACAACCTGAGCCCCCAGTTCACCCAGCTTCTGGTCTCCCGCTACTGCCCACGCTCTGCCAATCCTGCCATGCAGCTTGACCGCTTCATCCAGGTGTGCACCCAGCTGCAGGTGCTGACAGAGGCCTTCCGGGAGAAGGACACAGCTGTACAAGGCAACATTCGGCTCAGCTTCGAGGACTTCGTCACCATGACAGCTTCTCGGATGCTATGACCCAACCCATCTGTGGAGAGTGGAGTGCACCATGGACCTTTCCTGCCATCTTAGAGTGAGAGAAGCATGTGGACCTCTCTTCCTTTCCTGCCCCTCTAGAAGAACATTCTCCCTTGCTTGATGCAACACTGTTCCAAAAGAGGGTTGAGAGTCCTGCATCATAGCCACCAAATAGTGAGGACCAGGCCTGACGCCACAGGTAGGGGCCTGATGGAGGAGAGGATGGAGGCTGAATGTCCTGATGGCCATGAGCAGTTGAATGGCACAGCCTGGCCCCAGGAGCAGGAGATACCAGTCCTGATAATGGAGTTAGTGTCCAGTCAGCTGAGCTCCACCCTGGTGCCAGTGGTGAGTGTTCATCGGCCTGTTACCATTAGCACCTGTGTTCCCTCACCACCCCTCAGGCCATCCTGTCACGTGAGCTCATTTTCTCCAAAGTGGAATCTGACCAAGCATGAGAGAGATTTGCCCATGGGACCAGTGGCTTGGATTCCACCACACCCATAAAGTTAAGTTGTGTGTTAACTTCTAGCTGCCTGGGGCTGTCCCTGCTCAGGGAGCTCAGACAAATCTGCTCCCTGGGCATCTTTGGCCAAGGTACTGCCAGCTGCAGCTGGGACCCCTCACTTGCCTGCCATGCTCTGCCTAACTTTGGTCTCCAGGGTACAGTGGTCACCTCTCCCTGCCAATACTTTTCTTAATTTGCATTTTTTAATTTGGGGCCAAAAGTCCAGTGAAATTGTAAGCTTCAATAAAAGGCTGAAACTCTGGGGTTCCATGTTTTCCACCATGATTTCTCAGCTACAGGTTCATCCACTCATTCTTCCAGTGACTATGTAAGTACATCCTGTATACCAAGCCATGCAGGAAGCAGCAGCTCGGGGGCGCATGGCCTGTGTGGGGCTCCTCTCATTTGCCAGAGTGAAGTTAAGTGTAGGACAGCCAGCTGGGGGGGCCTGCCGGGTTCAGTTCAGTCTGGCCTGGAGGTCTATTCAGGAAGCTGTTTCATGGCAGTTTTAGGGCTGGCATTGTGGGCTGAAAGCAGCTACCTCAAACTTCATAGCTTGGCCTTTTCTATTTTCTCAGGCCCCAGTTTTATCTTCCAGACAAACTCCATTTATTAAGTCATAACTTTCCCCCATTTTTATTAAGCACAGACATCTGTACTTGAAAGTCGGATCTTTAGATCAGCATAATACCCAGTCTACACCGGGTGTCTGTAATGAGCTGACCACATTTCAGTCAAAAGCCAAAGACATCAGACATTCTAGTTTGCCAGGGGGCTTTATACTGGGTAATGGTGATTATCTTTTGGCTTTTTGAGATAAAGGTAAGAGCTCTGAGGCCCTGCGCAGGGCTCTCCTCCCTGCAGTGGATAGTTGGAAGTAACTATGACTGTTTTGCAGGTCAGTGAGGCCCAGCAGGTGTGTCAGGCTTAGCCAGGTCAGCTGCATTCTCTGGGCTGCTGTAGTGCTAGAATCCCAGCATTAGATGGAATCCAGTTCCCAGAGGCCAGCCCCCATCCAGAGCTAAAATCCCCTTCATACCCCCTCCCTGTGAGTCTGGCCTCTGCTTGCCAACCTCCAGTGGCAGAGAACTCAGTGCCTTTCCAGGCAGCCCATTTCCTCCATGACTGGCAGAAACATCTTCCTGATGTGGATTCTAAATCCTGCCATCTTGAAAACCCCACCATTGGCTGTGGTTTTCTCTGGGGGCCACCCAGGACATACATCACCCTTTCTGCACGCTAACCCTCTACATAGTGGAGCCTACCCTATATGCCACATTTCCCAAGTCCTCCCTTCCCTAGGCCAGAGAGCCCTGGGCTCTTGAGCATTCCCTTGCTGAGCATCTCCCCCCTCAGCATCCTGGTCACCTGAGTTTTCTTCAGTTTATTCAAGTCCCCCAGAGTGGAGGGCGGAGGCCTCCATGGTGCTGGGTTCAGCCAGCAGAGCGTGGTTAGAACTGCAGCCATCGGAAGCAGCGCCTGTTGTTTCTTTGTTCCCACTGAACCAAGTGTCTGCTGCAACCGATGCTGCCAATTGTAGTCTCTCATCTTTGTGCTCAGCTGAGGCTGACGAGCCCAAGACCTGCATTGATCTTGTGAGCATGATGGTTGGTTCTGAGCTTGGGGGTCAGCCCTCACACCTCATCCTGCACACTCACCTCCAAGCCTACCTATGCACTGTGCCAGCAGCTTTGGATCCTAAGGCCAGTGGAAGTGTGGAATGGGCAGGAGAGCCCATCCTCCTGGCAGCTGCTGGGGCTCTGTCCTCTCCACAGAGAGCTGGGCTGGTGAGTCATGTGGAGAGCAGGTGAAGTACTTAGACCACACATTTCACCTGCTCTGGGTAAAGCAGCGTGCCTAGGAGAGCAGTGCTTCAGCACTCCTGAGCTGGGCCCCTGGCAGCACCAAGGCTCTGCCTACCTTCTTGACGGGGGAGGTCAGAGGGAGCCCACAGCTCCATTAATCAAGGTAAGCAGACCTGGTGGTGTGCATAGCAGAGCTGGCCCCTGCCAGATGTCCCTGTTCCTCAGCAGAGTGGCGCTTCAGACTGTGTTCCACATCCTGCTCTGGCAACAAGGCTCAGGGCCTTTGGCAGCCTTAAAGTCATCTCGGTGGCAGACGGAGCGTGTCTGGCCAAGTCTGTGGCTTTGTCTTTTTATCCTGTGAGTTCATAGAAAATAGACGCAAGTCCTGGTTTCCAAGAAGAAGGTAACAGTAAATCAGCCTGTTAACCTGCTGTCTGCCTACCCTGCCGCCCTTACCTTCCCTAGGCCATTGGGCCTGTGAGCAGACAGTTTTGTTAAGCGAGGTCCCGGCGTCACAGGATTGGCACCGCATGAGGAGGCAGCACCATGTGTGCCGAGGCCTGGCTGAGTCCATCTGGGATCCTGTGTGGTGGTAGCGGGAGGTCAGCAGATAAGAGCATTCTAGTGCCTTCTTGTCTTCCCTCCCCCCAGCTTCCCCACCTTCTTCTGCTCCTAACCTAAGCAGCACAGATTTTGTGCAATGACAAGGAAAGGGAACATTCAGTGCCAGGCTTTTAATTACAGTTGCTTCGGGTTGCTGGCCTCTGTGCCAAGTGGCCATGGAGAGTGTTTTATCCACCACAAAGCCAACAAGGTTGGGTCTGTGGTGTGTGCCCTTGGCACCTCGTGAGGGTGGGGCTGTGCTTGTGGCCCACTGGAGAAAGGCTGGGCCCAGATTAGTTCACACAGGCATCAAAACAGCCAGCCAAGTGCAGCCCTGGGCTTCAGGGAGTCACTGGACCAGATGGAAATGCCTGTTGGGACCTTTAGAGCAGCCTCCAGGGAAGGCCTGTAATTGGGTAGGAAAGGGCTTTTTGGGAGGATGGCCAAGCTCTGGAAGGATGATGGGGACAGACTATACGGTGGGGTATGGCCAAATGAGAGAAGTACAACAATAATCATGTCCGCAACACTTCACAGTTTACAAGGAGCGTTCCACTTGCCTCAGCATGCTTAATCCTCACATCAACCCTGCTTAGGGGACACAGGCTCAGAGTCACACAGGCAGAAACCCAGGACAGAAGCTCCAGCCTTTTGCCACACCCAGTTGTCTTTCCATGAGGGGTAGTGGCAGATCCCCCAAGCTGGAGCCCCCAGGGCAGCCCTCGCTCAGTGCAGCACTGTGGTGACGCTGGTGAGCACCACATGCTCAGAGATTCTGGAGACGGAGCATCGGCTCTGCAAGGACAAGGACTTGTGGCTAACAGAGGAGCGGGGACTAGGGGCCTTCAGAGAGCCGCAGTGACCCCGGCCAGGCAGGCAGCAGGAGAAGGCAGCCTTAAACTGCTCCCGGAATTTGCCTTGGTTGGGAGACAAAAGACACAGCCATAAGGAGACAGATGCAGCAGGAAGGGGCCTTGAGCTCAGGGACACCCACGCAGCTCCAGCCAAGCTGCCTGTGAGGGGTGGGGAGGGAGGGACAGAGCTGGGAGGGAGAGCCCTGAGGCCACCTCAGCACTGCTGCCGCAGCCAGGGAGAGTTAGGACAGAGGCCCTGGAGCGGGTTCCCAAAGAGACAATCTGATTCCTTGACTGCGCTCTGGCTCAGAGGCTGGCTCAAACGTGGTGTCTGGCTCAGGGGCCTTAGGTCACCTCTGCCTTCCTTGGTGTGTATGTGGGCTCACTATCTGTTGCTAGGCTTGTCCCCTCTCTGCCCTTTGATCATGAAAATGATGGCAGCAGCAACCCTTTTGCATATGGCAGTCACGCTGTGCCAGGTGCCTCAGCCTCTGTCCCCCAGAGCATCCCAGCACCTAGAGAGGCTGGAGTCCTTTATCCTCACTTTACAGATGAGATACACAGAGGTACAGTGGCTTGCCCCAGGCCACCCAGCCAGAAGCTAAACCCAATTTGAATTCTAAAGCCCTTCTCTTAAGCAGGCGGGGGAGTGAGGAAGGGAAGGAGGGACCACCATACGACCCATACCACCTTGTTCAGCCCAAGTATACCGGGGAAACAGATTTTGTCAGCATGAAGCCCCTTTGATCATGTGTCATTAGCCTGCCAGCCTCTCTGGTGCCCAGCACAGGGCTGAGCACACAGTAAGTGCTTAGTAAACATAGACCAAACCAAGGCATATGTGTCAGGAAGTCTCTCTGCCCTCCCCTCCCCAAAGGGCTCATCTCTTCTGTTCTCTTTTCTGAGCTGGAAACCTGCAGCCAGCCTTGCTGAGTAATTCTTGAGTCTCATTGAGGGTTATACTATTGACTCCTGATCCCTTCTTTAACCTTTTAATAGTTCCTCAAAGATTATTTCTGTCCAGGCTTGAACAGTCATCTGGACCAGTTCTTTAGAAGCCTAGTCCCAAAATCAGAGGGCTGGTGAGTCACACTTCTGCTGAGTTCAGCGTCAGGGCCATTACCACCCCGAGACTGGGAGGTAGAGGGAGAGCGTGGGCACGGTGGGACAGCAGAAAGGGGAGCCCTGGAGTGGGAGTGGGTCGGCTGGGAAGGAAGACTTCCAGAGGGGACAACCCCTGAGATTCTGGTCACTCTGCCAGTGTGTGTCTAGCTGAGCAGGGGAAGCCCTTTCCCCAGGTCTAGCCCGTCTTTGCTGGCAACCCTCCTTTAACCTGACACCTGGACTGTGCGATCCTTCCTCAGGCAGGGCTCCAGCGCCTTCCTCCCACAGGTGTGACTCCCTCCGGGCAAGATGGACTCCTCTGCCTGGGCTGATTGGAGGTCCTTCTGTGCCTGCACCCGGATGGGAGTGGGGTCGAGCTGGCCTAGCCCCTGCCCTTCCACTCACTCACTGGTCTGCAGAATCGCAAAACTGGATCCTAGGTGCCGGCCACTGTGGGGAGTGTGGCCTGTCTCCCACTCAGGCCAGGGCTCCTTGGGGTGGGTCCTCCCAGAGCAGGATCACTGTGCCCACAGCAGGCACGTCCTCGCCTACCGTCCTTTATTTGGGCCCTGGCTTGGGGATGGGGAGACTTGTCACGTGGACTGTTGGCCACCCTCAGTCGCTGCCTCCCCAGCCTGCTCACCGCTGAGGAAGTTGTAGATGATGGGGTTGGCAGCGCTGTTGGCGTACACCAGCCAGTGGGAGAAGGTGAAGCAGGCGTAGACAGCTTCGCGGTTGCTGGCTTGGCGGAACATCCCGAACACCCTAGGCCCAGGGTTGAGGAGTGTCAGAAATGGGGTAGCTGTGTGTGCACGTGTTGGGGGAGTGCCGCTCACAGAACCTGAGCTGTAAAGGGCAGGAGTTCCTACTGCCCACTTCCATCCAAGTTTTCTGGCCTTCTGTATCTGAGGTCTTGGCCAGGGTTTGGGGTTCTAAGCATGGAGGGTGTCAGGCTCTGCGGTGGGCATCTCCAGTCTCCTGACCATCAGATTCCCTGTGTCTTCCCATCCGCTTTCTCATCCATCCTCACAGCAACATGGTGAGTCATAAACATCATCCATCTTTCCATTAAGGAAACTGAGGCTCAGAGAAGTAAACCGACATGCTGAAGATCACACAGCCAGGAAGTGGCCAAACACAATCTCCAAGTGAGACTGTCTTCTGTCCAGTAGCCCGCATTCTCTCCCCGGCACCCTGTGGCCCTCATTGGCTGTCCCTCCAGACACATACATGGTTTGCTCTCTCACTTCCTTCAAGTCTCTGCCCAAATGTCATTTCCTTGGAAAGGCTTTTTTTTTTTTTTGAGACAAGGTCTTGCTCTGTCGCCCAGGCTAGAGTGCAGTGGTGCAATCATGGCTCACTGCAGCCTCGACCTCCTGGGCTCAAGCGATTCTTCTGCCTCAGTCTGTGTAGCTAGAACTACAGGCACATGCCACCATGGCTGGATAATTTTTTGAATTTTAGTAGAGACAAAGTCTCACTATGTTGCCCAGGCTGATCTTGAATTCCTGGCCTCAAGCGATCCTCCCTCTTTGGCCTCCCAACATGTTGGGATTACAGGCGTGAGCCACTGCACCTGGCCCACTGCTTTTTTTTAAACTATTATATCTAAAGCGAAAGCAAAAACCCACCAACCCTTGTCACTGGCACTCTCCATCCTATTTTGTTTATCTTCCAGCAGTGATCACTGCCTGACATTATCGTATACATTGAGTTTTCTATGTACTTCCCTTCTCTCCTATTAGAATGCAGCCTCCATTAGGCAGGGGCTTGGTCTGTCTTGTGCACTTGTTCACTGTATTTCCAGCCCCCTAAAATGTCATGATTGAGTGAATGAATGTGTGAATTTTCATGATAGCCCTAGGAGACAGAGGTTCAGAGAAGAGAAATTGGCCTGCCCAAGGTCACACAGTGGAGAAGGGATAGAGCCAGGTCTTTCTCCCAAGCAAGGAGAGCTCCTTCACCTAACCTCAAACTTCTCCCCACCCCAACCATACCCCATGCTCTCACCTCTTAAGGACATTGAGTACACTGATGGGCAGGTAGCAGAGGGCGAAGACCAGCAGCACCACCATCAGCATCTTGGCTGTCTTCCTCCGCGCACGCATCTGCTTCACTTCAGCCAGGAAGGCGCGGGCCCGGGGCTGGGGCTCTGCACTCGGGTCCCCCAGCTGGTCTGAGGGCTGCTTCCAGTTCCGCACCAGTGCTGAGGTGGCGCCAGGGATCTGTCCAGCACACATAGAGATAGCAGTGGTGGGTATAGCGCCTTGAGAGGGTGGTTGCCTTTTGTGAGGCCCACTCCAGGCTGGACCCTAGGCAGGGTGGAGATGGGCAAAGGGAACAAGCCCTTGCAAGAGGAAGGAACCTAATGTTTATGATAAAGACACTCTGGACTTGAGAGTGAACAATAGATTTTCTTTTTCTTTTCTTTTCCTTTTTTTTTTTTTTTTTNCCCCTACACACACGTGTGCACCCATTCTCACATATGTACGCATAATCACATATGCACATGAGCACAGGCAGGCCATCCCCGACCCTACCCAACACCGGCTTTGCTTCTTCAGGACCTAATCCCCTTGCTATAATGACAGGGACGCCAAATAATATAGGAGTCCAGGGAGAGGCTTAAGCACCCCCAGAAGGCTGGCCATGGGTAGCAGGACCCCCAGAAGAGCTGGGAAGCGTGAGGAGGGTACTGCCTAGGGTGAGGGCTGTCCCTGGGGCTTGGCGGGGGGCCTCAGTCCCAGAGAAGGATTTTAAAGACCCCCGCGCCCCCATCTGCAGCTGGCCAGTTTCCTGTTCCCTGCACTCAGACTGGCAGCTCCAGTCTGCTGTGGAGCCAGCCGGCACTGCTCCAGAGGCAGAACAAGGCTCGGGCAGCCCCTGGTGCTCTGCCCCCCAAAGGCCTCCTCTCAGATTCTTGTCACTGGAAAGAGAAGATGGAAAAATAAACATCTAGACTTCTATAAAGTATCTTTTTTTTTTTTTTTTTTTTTTTGAGATACAATTTCACTCTTGTCACCCAGGCTGGAGTGCAATGGTGCGATCTTGGCTTACTGCAACCTCAGCCTCCTGAGTAGCTGGGACTACAGGTGTGTGCCCCCATGCCCAGCTAATTTTTGTATTTTTAGTAGAGATGGGGTTTCACCATGTTGGCCAGGCTGGTCTTGAACTCCTGACCTTAGGTAATCCCCCTGCCTCAGCCTCCCAAAGTGCTAGGATTACAGGTGTGAGCCACTGCGCCTGCCCTAGACTTTGATTTTCCGTTAGCTCATTGTGAAACCCCCTGCAACATGCCTTGTGGAAAGATGTTATTGGCCCTTAGGTATAGATGAAGCAACTAAGACTCAGAGAGGTGGGGACCCTTGACAAGGCCCCAGCCCACATCCTCTCAGCTGCCCATCCATCCTCTCTAAATCTCCAACACTATCTTTGAGGGTAGGGGTGGGGGTGACTTGTGCCTCCTCTGGGTCATACCAGACTGTGGGGAGGCCTTGGCAAGGGGTGAGCAGGTGGGCAGCATGGAATGGCCTGGGCCACTGCCCATAACCCTGGGTGTTTCTGGGCCCCTGGAGAAGCCTCTCCTACCACTGGACGGTTGAGTCACCCACAACAGAGGGGTATGGTGCTATAGTTCCGGAAACATGTGTCTAGAGCCAGCTCAGACGTTTGTGAGCTATGTGACCTTGGCCACCTCACTTTCCTTTCTCAGCCTGGCTTTCATGTCTGTCAAATGAGGAGGATTGTGCCTGTGCCCTGCTTGGCTGGGGGGTTGTGGGAGCAGATGATCAGTGTGGGTGGACTGCAGGGCTGGCTACCCAGGAAGAGCCCTACTGGACTGCGTGCTCCTCCCAAGCAGGACTTGGGTCTCAGCCAGTCTGTGTCCCCACCCACTGCCCGGCATGGCCTGGGTGCAAGCCAGTACTGTCTGTGAAATGTAGGTGACATCCCCAAGTGTGAGAGTCCCTTCCTGAGCCTGGTCCTGTTCTGGGCTGCATTTTCTCACTTCCCAGACACCAACCCAGGACTCCCACTCGCTAGGCCAAGGCCCTCTGAACACCCCTGCCCCCAAAAACCTAGGAAACCCACTGTGGGTCAGTCTGCAATGCAGGAAAGAAGACAGACCCTGGAAACGGAAGGCTCTGCCGCTGTCGGCTCTGGCAAGTGGGTGCCCTTATTTGCCATTTGTGATGTGGGTAACATTGCTTCTTTTGTTAGATAGTTGTTAAGACATTGGATGCAAAGTGCCTAGTTCGGCAAGCAAGACGGAGTTGCTATTCTTATTGTTGCAGTGGTACTAAACTGAGCAGTGGGGGCTCACAGATCTGGGTTTTACTTCCTGATCTACTCACTGAGTAGTTTGGGGGAAGTTATGTTGATCTTCTGGGTCTCGTTTTTCTCATATATTTAATGGGGGCAACAAATGATGGTTAAGAGGATGTGAGACTATCTGGGATCGGATGGTTCAATACATGGCAGCCACTACTATTAGAAGGATGTGTTACACTACTGCATTCCAGGGTGGCCACTAGCGCTTTTCGCCTTGAGTTCGACGTGTCTCTGGGCTTCCCCTCTCTTTGGTTGCAGCCAAGATGGCATGTGCTGATGGCAGAGGACTGTCTACTCCATTAGGCCAGTAGCCCCCTACCCTCCACTCCAGCCCACACGGGGACACCAGAGTGGGCCTTACCTGGCGGCCCCAGAGCTTGCGGAATATCTGGAAATAGGCCATGGCCATGAGGCCCAGTGGGGCCAGGTAGGTGACAACAAAGAAGCAGCTGTGGTAGATTTTGGGATAGAGGTCATCTGCAGGGGTCAAAAGGTTCAAAGTCAGGCCCTGTCTGCAAGCCCCACCCTGCCCTGGTTAACAATGCCACCCTGTCCTGACTAGGTCCAAAGCAAGGCCTAGGAGCAGCTGGACCCCATGCAGCCAGCATGACAGAGACCCTGGAGTTGTCCAACGTGGGGGTGTCCATCCTGGAAGGACGTCTACACTAGAGCAGATGTCTACATAAGAGGAGGTACCCACCCTGGGATATCCCTGGTAGGTGCCAGCCTAGGGTGTCCTCTAGGGAGATACCTGCCCTGGGATTTCCCACCCTGGAAGGGTCCCTGCTAGATGCCTGCCCTAGGGGTATGTGCTCCCGAAGTGCCCACCTGAGGGGATGCCTGCTTGAGGCTTCCACCATTACCTGCCCAGTGTTCATCACAGACAGAGAAGAGCCACGTTCGGTTGGCTAGCTCGGGCAGCACACTGCTGCATTCCATGACTGCAGCCTGGGGCACCATGACAGCCAGTGACACAGCCCAGATGCCCAGGATGGAGCCACGGGCCCGCCGGGCTGTGCTCTTGAACAATAGTGGGTGGCAGATGGCATACCAGCGGTCCAGGGCGATGAAGCTGAGAGTCAGCACTGCCACTGACACGGACACAGCCTGGCCCATGGGGACACAACGTCAGTCATTTTGGGGGCCACTCAGAGGTGGGAGAGTAGGTGAGTGAGGAGGCTGACGGCAGGTGCAGTGCAGGGCAAATCCTGACTCCACCACTTACTGGCTTTGTAAATGTAGGCAAGTCACTCATCCTTTCTGAGCCTTGTCTGCAGAATAGGAATATACCATCTACCTGGCAGGATTCAAGTGAAATCATGTATAAACAATGTCCAGCTTCAGACCTGGCACATGGTAGGAGCACCCCTACTGTGAATAATAACTTGCACCTACAGAACTTACTATGTGCTGGCCACTGTTCTTAACATCCTCACAACAACCCTACAAAGTAGGTGCTCTTACCCCCCTGTTGCAGATGAGGAAACTGAGGCACAGAATTCCCTCATCCTTCTGTCTTTATGCTCAGGGTCACCAGAGTTAACTAGTTGAGTGGGAAACTTCAAAACAGTGGGAAATCCAACAGGCATTTCTCTGCCCTGGAATGCCATCCCTTCCCCAGGCTGTTTGGAAAAAAATCCTCATTCTGGGAGGCAGAGATGAGTCTGGGCCAGAGGTGTGCGGGCATTGCCTCCAGGGGTGGATCCTGCCCTCTGGAGTGCAGAAAGTGGATTGAAGGGTACAAACTGAGAGAAGTCTTTCTTCCACCCCACTAACACCATCTGGACATCCTGGTTTCCATCACTGGGGCTTCTCCTGGCCGGTGCGGGAGGGAGAGGAGAAGGCTGTTTCCGTCAGGCCCCCTCATGTCTGCCCCTTTGGGACTGGGGAGCAGGCCCAGGGTGTTGTGTAAGTGTCTCTGTGGGCTTGTGCCTCTCCTCTACTGTGTGCCTGTGTACCTGGAGATGACTACATGTGTCCACGCGTATCTATGTATATGTCTGTGACTGTGACCAGGAGGGGATCTTTGTGAGTGTGTGGGGTTGTGTCTGTGTCCTTGAGTGTCTGATCTGGTGGCTTGCCCTTGATTGCAGTAGAGGATGACACTTCAGGGGTTGCGAGCCACTGACCTGTCTGAAAGGCAAGTCTGAGGGTCATGGAGGCCTATGCAAGGCCGTAGGTTTTGTGCAGGTGTGACAAGGAGTAGTGAGGGGCGCCTGGGCAGAGCTCACCTGTAGATAGGGGATGACCTTGCAGAGGGCATGGCCAAAGAGCCAGGACTCAGTGATGTCTACTAGCAGGCTGGCCGGCAGGCAGATGGCCGTCACCAGGACATCAGCCAGAGACAGGTTCACGATGAAGTAGTTGGTGACTGTCCTCATCTGGTGGTTCCGCCACACGGCCAGGCAGACTGCAGGGTGCAGCAGGGTAAGGTGAAGCTGGTGGCAGAGCCACGCCCATCCTAGTTCTGCCCAATCAGCAAGCCCCTCCCCACACACCCCTCCTTCAGTCCCCAGGGAATGCCAAGCAGCACTGCAGGGCAAGCTCCGGACCTACCCAGTGTGTTGCCCACCAGGGCCACGAGGAACACAGCTACATAGGCTGCGATGAGGACCCACTCGTACTGCTTTGGGTACAGATAATCGTGCCACAGATAGCGGAGAAACTCATCTTCATAGTCTGGAGGCACAGGGGACGGTTCCCTGCTGCCAGGGGGGACCCCCATCTGGGCCACTGGGGTGGCTGAGGGCTCCATGAGCTCAGGAGGCGCGGCAGCAGAGGGGCATCCTAGGCTCTGTGGAGGGAGAGGAGGGAACCCTGGGCCAGCCCTCAGTCCACTCCCCTCAGGGTATCTGGAAGCTTGCACCCAGGTCTTTTGGAGTCTCAGCCCCAAACGTCCTGAAGGGAGGAAGGAAAGAAAAGAGTGGGGAAAGAGGGAAGGAAGGAAATGTTAGGGAGTGTGGCAGGCACTTTGCATATAAGTTTCCTCTTAATTCTCACAGTCATGAAATTGATGGAGGAAGGCAGACCTGGGTTGCATCCCAATTCCACACCAGTCGCCTTAGGTAACTTACCTGACCTCTTTCAGCCTCGGTTTCCCCATCCATCTAATGGGGTGATAACCCTACCTACCTTACAGGGCCGAGATGAGGAGTAATGAGCTCTGATGCATGCCAAATGCCTCACCAAGAACCTGGCACGAGAAGGTGGTTTGGGGGAAGTTTCCAGCTACTCTTATTAGGGTATGCTGCTTTGCAGATGAGAGGGAAGCTCAGAGAGATTGAGTCCCTTGCTCAAGGTCACAAAGCTCCTAAGCCAGGTCTGTCCGAACCAACCAAACACCATAGATTTAAGTGGAAAAGCCATCCCGATTTCAAATGTTTTTTGAGCCAGTTCACAGGCTTTAATTTTAGGCTGGGAAACAGGGTCAATGGAGGTGTTAGAGACCCAAATCCCACCCGCCAGACCTGCCAGACCCTCCGGTGGGCACGCGCGCGCGCGCGCGCGCACACACTCACACACCACAGTGGGGGTGGTTCGGGGAGGGACTGACGACCCCTTGGGAGCAACGGGGGCGTCCAGGCCCCCTGCGGGGCCCCCCTTGGGTCTCCAGGGCCGCGACGCTCCCCGACGGCCGCCAGGAGCCGCTGTTCCGGCGCGCTGGCAGCTCTCCATTCATAAATCTAGCCAGCCCAGCTCCCTGCCTCTCCTCCTGCACTCAGCCCCTCCTTCACCCGGCTGGCCTGGGAAGACCCCTGCCGGGTGCCGGAGGGTTGCGGAGACCCCTGGGGAGGGAGAGGGGACGCCTTCGTACCCCACTGAACGCCGGCAGGCCGGCTCCGTCCGCGGGACCTCCCTGCACCTCAGGGGCTGCGGGGGCTCCGGGGAGGCGGGGGGAGCGAGGGCACTCGGCGTTCCGCGGGAGCCTGCCTGGAGGAGAGCAGCGCCGGCCGGGGAGCGAGTCTCCCAGCACCCCGATTACCACCCAAGAATCTTGGCTCCCCCCATCCCTCGCCGCAGGTCCTTTGGAACCCCATCCCGGGCCTGGGGGGTCCCCCACACCCCGCACCTGTTGACTCCGGGACCCAGGCGTTCTCGGCTGCTGGTGCCCGGACCTGGCACCGGGAACTTCGCCTTCCTGCGGGGAAGGCCGGACCTCTGGGGTCCGGGGCTGCGGGAGGGGACCGGGGCAGCCCCCTCCCTAGGCTGCGCTGCCTCGGCTCTAGGGGCTGAGCGCGAGCCCGGGCTACTGCGCGGGCTGTGGCTCGGCGCGGGCCCAGCCGGGCTGCGCGCTGCGGGGAGGGGGGCCGGTGGGAGAGGCAGGGCGGGGTGGGAGCCCCCAGCAGGTCTCAGCTCCGTGTTTTCCAGCCCCGAGACCCGCAGGGCGGAGGGAGACGCTCGTTCCTTCTCGCCTCCCACTTCACGCTTCCATCCCACCTTCATTCATGCGTCCATCCGTTCATTCACTCCATCCTCATTCACTCCACATTTATGGCCCTGGCCACCCCGCATTCTGGGCGCACTTAGTGTGTGCCGGCGGACCTGGCAGCTACTGAGGGTCACAGTGCAGAGGTGGAGCCCAGCCCCGCCTCTCCTTGCTGCCTCACTTAACTGAGGAGGAGGATGGCACAGGCGGATCACAGGGGTGAGACAGAGAGGATGCCGGCACCGCCTCCAGCCCAGCCCAGCGCCGGATGCTGCTGGAACAGCAAGCTCCCAACGATGCCAGAGAGCCCTGCTCTCCCATCTCCCAGCCCCTCCCCCATCCTATCTGCCCCCAATTATTCTTTTTGTTATACCTACTGCTCCCCTCCCAAAACAGGGAGGCTGGCGGGGGCAGGAGTGGAGGTTCACTAATTCCACAAATAACGATTTATTAAGTTATGTGCCAAGCAATGAGTTATATTAATAAAGCTACATGATACCTGATCTCGTTTAATTTTCACATCAACCTGGTGAGGTAGTTATTATTGTTCCCATTTTACAGATGAGGACACTGGACCCACATGGTGCCATGACTTGCCCAAGGTCGCACAGCAGAGGCAGAGCTGGGCTTCAAGCCTGTGCCTCTCTCAGGTCTACCAGCCTCTCACCAGATGGAGGCTCCCTGCCCTGCAAAGTCTCTCTGGCTGCTGGAGGAGGCAGGTGCACAGCCAGGCAATTTTCCCTTGGTGTGGGGAGAGTGCGAGGGACCTGGGGACTGTGGGGCACAGGAGGACAGACGACTCAGCCAGGGCACTAGAACAGGCTTCCTGGAGCAGGAGCATCTCCATGGAGACCTGAAGAATAAGAAGGTAACCCTGCAAGGGGGATTGTGGTATTCGAGGCAAGGTATTCAAATCAAGGTCAGGAAACAGTAAGTGCAAAGGCTTGAAGGTTGGGGCTTCTGGAAATCACTCACTCAAGGGTAGGTGAAGGGTGACTGCCTGAGCATCGAGCAGTCACCTTGGCCATTCCCTACCTCGGGATAGGACCTTCCTAACACGTCACCCTCTGAAACTCACACTCTTTCCCTCCTGGGAGGCGATTCCTGGGATGTAACCACGGTCTTTCCCGTTGCAGCCAAAGCCCTTTTCAAAGGCTCTGGAGATGCACCATTAGGCATAGAAGGTGTGGAAGAGGAACTGGAGCAGCACAAGGGGCGGGGCCGGTGACCTTCACCTCTGCAGAGCAGGAGGATGGACTGAAGCTAAACCCAAAGCAGAACTTTGTCCTTGGGCAGATACGGCATCTGCATGGTGGGTGATGTCCTGTCTGCCCTAGGTGCTGGCTGAGATAGAAGATGGAGTGAAGGAACTCAGAAGAGGGGCTGATGTGTGTGTGTGTGCATGTGTGTCTGCATATGTGTGCATGTGTGTGTATTTGTGTTTGAGTCTTGAATTCAAGTAAGGGCTGTGGTGTGTGTCTAGGGAATCCAGTGTGTGTGTGTGTGTGTGTGTGTGTGTGTGTGTCTGACTGTGCATATGAGCAGGGTATGTGCTCTGGGTTAATGACTGGCATCACCCTGGGTGGGATGTGTCTGTCTGGGTTTTGGTCTGTCCCTGTGCTTTGGGCTTTTTGTCTATGAGGAACGTGTATGTGTGGGGGGTGTCTGTTTCTCAGTGTGGATCTGAATGCTCAACTGTGGCTTTGACTAGTGCTTGTGAGTGTGGACATGCCTTTGTGTGCAAAGCTCTGTGAGTGTGCGTATGTGGAACTTGGTATATCTGTTCCTACAGCAATAACTCATCTTACCCCCCCTGCATTCTCTCCCCAACCTGGAGCTGTGACTGTTTGCTATGTTCAGGCTGAGGAGGGGGATGCATCATGTGGGGGGGATGGGAGGCAGATCGTGCAGGGACACTCCAATGACAGCTGTGGCAAACAAGGTGCAGCCAGCGATGTGGAAGGTACAGCTCCATGTTTGTCTGTGTGGGCAGTAGGCACCAGCCGAGCCCAGCACAGCCCAGGCTTAGAACCTAACCCAGAATGCAGATCTCCATAATTCAGGGCCTTCCAGATACCCTGGGTCGGAGTGGGCACTGGGCTCACCAGTCATGATGCAGGTTGGTGCATGTCTGTGTAGGGAGGAGCTCATGACTGAGAGCTCCCCCAGGACACAGTTTCACAGAGCCAGTCCCAGCTCCACTCAAGAGGACTCTCAATTGCCAACCTTCCCCAACCCTTTATCCTTTGGTTCCCCAAAGATGATTGCTCCCCAGGTCAAGGGGTCCTGAGAGATTCCTGCCACACACAAGCAACAGATCTCTCTGTCTCCCCTATCAGACTCTGGCCAGGTAGTTTCAAGCCAGCGCAGGAGCCAGGGCTCTGGCCTAGAGGCACTAGACCTCGCAGCCTCTCTGGTCATGAATCTGGCCTATTTAGCCACAGCCTGAGGGTGGGAGAGGCCAGTTATTTGGCCTAGATGGGCATGGGAGAGAGTGGGTATATGCTGAGAAAATCCTGGGGGCGGGGTGGTAGGAACCAGCAGTGCTCTAGAAGGCCTACAAGGAGCTGCAGGCTTTTGGTCCTCGGGCACAACAGCACTGGCCTCTGGTAACCCCTGGCAAAATGCCCATGTCCAATGGAGGGCCCCAGGGACCTCAGGTCCTCCATGTCCAGGCTGGGCTCCCAGCCCTGGCGCCTCCTCTGCCCAGGGAGGGCTGGTCTCAAGCCTTTGCTGTGCTTGAGCTGTCTGTCAACAGGGGCCCACATGACCTCTTTCCTGGAACCAGCCAGCCCCAGCCTTGTTGATCTAATCCTGAGCCTCTGAGCCACAGGTCCCTGTCATATCCATCTTCAAGTGTCACCCTAGGCACTGGCCCCAGTTGCTACCTCCTCTTCCCTCCCAGTTCTGGTGTGACTTGCAGTAACCTCTGTCTGGCTAAGACTAGAGTAACTGAAATATAATTGGGTTTCCTCTTGCTAATGCCGCTACAGACCTGGGAACGTGGATAGGAAAACTCTGGGCAGGGCAGAGGTGCTTCGTAGAAGAACAGAGATCAGGCAGCAGGCTGAGGTATGGGATTGGGTGAGGGGAGGGCCAGCAGAGATGGGCTGTGTGGAGGAAAGGGGGCTTCTCAGGGCAGTGCCTAGGGAGGCCACTGAGCAGCTGTGGTGTTTTGGTCTTTGGGCCAACAGCAATGGCCTCTGGGAGCTTACGCCCAGGGAGGGACCCAGAGACCTGTTCCCCATATCCAGGTCCTCAGCCTGTGTGCCTCTTCTCCTCTGGATGGGCCTCCTCCTTCAGGGTCTGTGTGGCTTGAAGGGGGCAGGCAGCCACCAGGAGAGGAGGAGCCCAGAACCCAGAGTCAGGCATTCTCTGTGACTCTAAGAGCTAGAGCATCTTCCTTTTTTGTTTTGTTTTGTTTTTTGAGACAGTCTTGCTCTGTTGCCCAAACTGGAGTGCAATGGCAGGATCATGACTCACTGCAACCTCCACCTCCTGCTTAAGCGATCCTCCTGCCTTGGCCTCCCAAAGTGCTGGGATTACAAGCTTGAGCCACTACTCCCGGCCAAGTGTGCATCTTCAAGCCAGTGGCAGGAGCCAGGGAGAAGGGGCTGAAGCCAGCAGCCTTCTGTCTCTCCACTCACTCACATACTCACTCAACAAACAAACACGGAGGCCAGGTAAGCTGCAGAGATGGGGGTCCTCCTGGTTAGGCTGGGGAGACCCTCATGGAGAAGAGTAGACAGCGTGATATCAAATGCATCAGGATGGAGCCTGTGGAGGCAGGCTGGGGGCAGAATGGGACAGCGCCAAAACAGAGCACAAGAACCACTGAAAACACATCCCCTCCCTCCCACCCCCGCCTCGCCCCTGGTGTTGAGGGGAGGTCAGGAGCAAGGCTTTGGGGTCAGGAAGATGGGGATTAGACACCACTCTGCTGCTTACTACTGGGTGATCTTGGGCTGGTCACTTCCTTCACCTCCGGGATAGGCTGAATAATGACCCCAAAGATGTCCACGTCCTAACCCCCAGAACCTGTGGCTATGTTCCATGGCAAAAGGGGCTTTGCAGATGTGGCTAAATTAAAGATCTTGAGATGAGGAGCTTATCCTGGACTGTGCAGGTGGGCCCGGTGCGATCACATGGTCCTCATAAGAGGGAGCCCCAGGGGTCAGAAAGAGAAGACGCGATCATGGAAGAGGGAATGCAGTCCCGCCACGCCCTGGATTTTAGCCCCATGAGATTCATTTTGGACTTTTGACTTCTAGTGCCACGAGAGAATAAACTTGTGTCGTTTTTATTTGTACTTGTATCTATTTATTTATCTATCTATCTATCTATCTATCTACCTATCAATCATATTTTGAACCTTATAGTAGCCTCTGTCAGGCAAAATGCCCATGTCCAAGGGAGGGCCCCAGGGACCTCAGGTCCAGGCTTAATCAATTAAGCCTGGGCTACAGTCTTGCTCTGTCACCCAGGCTGGAAAGCAGTGGCTCAATCACAGCTTACTGTAGCCTGGACTTCCCTGGCTCAAGCAATCCTCCTGCTTCAGCCTCCCAAGTAGCTAGGACCACAGGCACACACCACCACATCCGTCTAATTTCCGTATTTTTTGTAGAGACGGGGTTTTGTCATGTTGCCCAGGCTGATCTCGAACTCCTGAGCTCAAACCATCCACCTTCCTTGATCTTCCAAAGTGTTGGGATTACAGGCACGAGCCACCGCGCCCGGCTTTGTGCTGTTTGAAGCTGCTAAATCTGTGGCAATCTGTTATGGCAGCAAT